TAACTTCTAATAGGTTAATTTATTTCTTGCAGAGCTTTCTTTCTTTACATAGCTGGCAAACATTTGACTCTATACTTAAATAAAGTAGAAATAGCAGAAGGGAAGTCTCCATATTATTTTTAGTTTTATTAAAATTGTTTTTACGCATTACTTTTGCTAATATATTACCTACGTTACTATTACAATATCACCTACCTTACTATTACAATATCAAAAATTTATAATTTTGTTTTAATTTTTAATTAATATTTTAATTTATTATTTGAGCAATTGATAAAGAATATTTTATAAATGTTTAACTGATTTAGTTTCCAAAATGATAAAATATATTTATTGCTTTTCTTGTGATACAATATTGCTTTACTTTGTGATATATTTGATACAAAAGTACAAATATAATATATATTATTAAATGTTATATAATTTATGTTATAAAACTAAATTTTTTTAAGTAAATATTTTTAAATAAAATTTTCATTTAACTATCTCAAAAATAAACTATTTGTTGACTTTAACTTATTACTAATATATTAGGTGTACAAAAAAGTTCTGAGCTTTTTTTTGTAAAATTCAATCTTTATTCAAAAACAAACAAAAAAAAATATTAATCAGCGAAATATTCCCCGTTTGCATCAACGACCTTTTGCCATCTTTCGAGTAGCTTGCGAATTCCTTGACGATAGAAGCTCACCGGCTTCGAAGCGATAAAGTCATCAATGCATTTTCGTATCTCTTCAAATCTCACGAAATGTGTATCAGCCAAATGATGCTGCAGCGACCGGAATAGGTAGTAATCGGAAGACGCCGTCTAAGCTATACGCCGCGTGCGGGAGAAGTTCCCAGCCTAACGCAAAGATATGGTCCTGAGTCGCTTTCGCAACATGTGGTCGAGCATTGTCATGAAATAAGATCACTTTACGACGTCCTTGACCAATAAATGGCCTCTTTTCTTCTAATGCATCGTTCAAATTGGTCAATTGTTGTTAGTAGCGGTCTGCCGTGATTGTTTCACCCGATTGTAACAAGTCGTAATACAACACACTTTCCGATCCTAGCAGATACAGCAAAAGCCTTCTTGGCATGGATATTGAGCTTTGGCGTCGATGTCGAAGGTTGACCAGGGTCAACCCATGATTTTCTACGTTTAGGGTTATCATAAAGAATCCACTTTTCATCGCCTGTAATGATTTTGTGCAGAAAATCTTTTTTCCGGAACTTTAAAAGCAAAGTGAGTGCAGTGTCACACCGACGATTTTTGTTGTCTTCGGATAATTCATGCGGAACCCATCTGCCTTTCTTCTGAACCTTTCCCATCGTATGTAAACGTACGGAAATGATTTGCTGCGTAACGTCAAACTGTTCTGCAAGCTCCTTTTTAATTTGCGCAGAGTTTATATCCAGCAGTGCTTGCAATTCGTCCGTTTCAATCTTTTGAGGGCGTCCAGCACGCGGTTCATCTTCAAGACTGAAATCTCCTTGGCAAAATTTTTGATACCATCTTTACATGTAGTATAATTTACAGCGTTCTCTCCATATGCAGCACAAATCATTGCAGTAGCTTCAACAGCATTTTTCTTCAGATGAAACGCGAAATGGATGGAAAATCGAATATGTTCTTTTATTATTGCCATCGTGAACACTACTGATTTTTGAGATTATGTGCATCAAACGCCAAACCGTATGGCATTTTAGAAAGCCAAATGTCAACGCTTTAAAACCGCAAAAGGGCGGGATTATAAGATATATAAAATTTAAATTGTTATTTTGGTTGTATGAAATCTAAAGCTCAGAACTTTTTTGTACACTTAATATGTTTCATGATTTCACTTTCCACGCATCTAAGCTACCCAGACAGCATATAATATTGAAAAAATGTTGATGAGACGTTGTATGTTTCATATAGATGTGCGGATGTTTTTTTTACATTTAAGCTGTGGCTTTTCAACATTGATTATAAAATATTGCTACAACATTGAATATGCATATATGTATGTATATACATAAATATTCATTAAATTTTTTCTAAATCAGACAAGAAAGGTCACCAATTTATTAATTTTTCATTGAAATTTTTTTACATCAAAAACAACACGGCCTCAATAAACAGAACGACACGGATCTTTTGCTTGACAATTGTCTGCCTGTCCTTAACCAGTTATCCCTGATTTAACTCCTTTCCTCCTCTTCTTATTATTCTCCACCACATTTTTTTTCTTTCCCCTTCTCCTATTCCTTTTCTTATCTCCTTTCTTCAATCCTGTATCGGTTTGTTTTACACTTTCTGACAATAGTAATGATTACTATTTGATACAGACTACTCGACTTTTCGCTCATGGATATTTATTCACTCATTTTTATGAACATAATGACTTTATAATTTTACAATTTAACATAATAATTTTTATTTTTATTTACTTATTTCTTATTTAATTTAATTTTTTTTAATTTATTTCTTTAATATTTATTTCTTATTTATTTTTATTTTTATTCTTTTATTGTATTTTCCCAACCTTCGACTTTTTAGTTTTTGACTATTTGTGATTTTCTTTTTATCCGACTAATTTTAATACGTTTCGACTGTTTGTGTGATTTAGCACTTTAATTGGTTTAATTGGTTTTTATAATTTAGAACTAAGAATATCTTTGGGCATTTGTTTGACTGATCTTTGTCATGTTTCTACCTGTTCATGTTGGGAGCAAGTGACTGAAGATTTTTATTTGTTTTTTTGATTGATTTTATGTAAGTCCAATAATAATATCTCATTTTAATGTAATACAAATTTGTTTTAAGATTTATATATTCTATGTTTTCCCTCAGATATTACTGAAAATAACTTAATACAGGTCGAAATGTTTAATGTTGTTACTTCAATAAACAAAAATTTTTCAAACAAGAAGATTCGGCTTGGCTTATATGCCTCTTATTTTTCTCAATTGTATTAAATTATGTTTTATTTTCCTATTATATCATAATTTCATATATAAATTAATAATAATAGGCAATTTAAAATTGCATTATAAAAGTGAAATATACGTAAAATCGT